GGGAGGGATCCTGAGCCAAACATGAGCCTAGCGCAGAGCACTGACTGGGTCCTAGCCTGTGTTTTCTTCTTGGAATGTTTATTGTGATAATAGTAGTGCCCCATTTGTAAGTTGTAAGAAATAACATAGAGATCCTAGGTACTCTTTACCCAGATTCTCCCAATGGGAACACTTTGCAAAACTATAATTCAATATCACAACTGGTAGATGGAAATCAACCTAATTGTCTTAGCTTATTCAGATTTGGATCATGTGTGGGTGTTTATTAGTCCTTCATAAGTTTTCATATTTGTAGATTCCTTGACCACAGTCAAGATACTAATGTAGTTCATCACCATGAAGATCCCTCATGCCATCCCCCTTTTTTTTTTTAAGGGGGGGGGGCGCTAGAGGGAGAGAGAATTTTTTAATATTTATTTTTTTTTAGTTTTCCATGGACACAACATCTTTGTTTGTATGTGGTGCTGAGGATCGAAACCTGGCTGCACGCATGCCAGGCGAGCACGCTACCGCTTGAGCCACATCCCCAGCCCACGTGCCATCCTTTTATGACTACATCCACTTTCCTTCACCACTGCTTCCTCCCCTTTTTTTTTTCCTAATCCTTGCAAATCTGTCTTCTAATTCTAAAAATTTTGCCCCATGAACAACATTATGTAAGCAGAATCCCAGTTAAATCTTTTGGGATTGGCATTTTTCACTTAGCATGATTCCTTGAGAATTCATTCAGGTTACTGCATGTATCCATACTCTTTTTCTTTGCATTGATGAGTAGTATTCCATAATGTGGCTAGATCACAGTTTGTTTAGCTATTCACCAGCTGAAGGACTTCTGGGTTAATGCTAATTTCGGCTATTACAAACAAAGGTGCTACAAATATTTGTGTATAGATTTTGGTGTAAACATAGTTTTCATTTCTCTAGGATAAGTGTACAAATTAACAATTGCTGGATTTTATGGTAGTTTAATGTCTGATTTTGTAAGAAACTGCCAAACTGTTTTCTGGAGTGACTGTACCACTTTTTATTCCCACCAGCAGTATATGAGTAACCCAGTTTCTCTATATCCTTGCCAACATTTGGTTTCATCAGTTTTTCCATTTTAGCCATTATGATAAGTATATACTGATATCATTTGTGGCTTTAATTTTAATGCCTTTAATGTCTAATGATATTTAATATTTTTTTCATGGGCTAATGTCATATATATATATGTATTTTTTTCGTTTTATTATCCTTTTTACATGGACTATTATTGAGAAAAGACTTAATTTTGATGAAGTTCCATTTATCAGTATTTCCCTGTATGTCTCTGGATTTCAAGTCTAAGATGCTTTTGTCTAATCTTAGATATTAAATATTTTCTCTTAGGTCTTTTTCCTAGAAGTTTATAGTTGTACATTTTGCAGTTAATTTAGTTTGAAACAAGTTTTGTATATGAGAGTTTTAATGTTTTTTTTTTTCTTCTTCTGGATATTCAGTTAAATCAGTATCGGTTTTTTTTTTTTTTTTTTTGAAAAGGCTAGCCTTTCTTGATATTTAAAAAAAAAAAAGCTTTTGCACTTTTGTAAAAAAAATCAATTGAGAATATTTGGGTCTATTTCTGGGTTCTTTCATGTGTTCCATGCATCTATGTGATGTTCTCTAGCAGCACCACACTGTACAGTAGCTACATGATAAGATGATACTGAGCGCTTCCTCCTATTTTATTCCTCTTTGTTGAGATTATTTTACCTTTGCCTGTGCTTTTCCATACAAATTTAAAGAATACACTTTTTGGTATCTACAAAAAAATTTAGTTGGACCTATAGAAGAATTGCATTTAGCCTATGGATACATTTGGAAACACCTGACTTTGCTACTAATGTTGAAGCTTCTGATTTATAAACATGGCATGTCTCTCCATTTATTTATGTATTATTTTGTTTAAGCATTTTTTACATTTTAATTATCGAGTTTCTGTTAAGTTTCCATTTAAGTTTTTGTTAAGTTTGTATCTTAAATATTTCATTTTCTTAGGGTAAATGGGAATGTGTTTTTAATTTCAGTCACTATATGCTCATCATTACTATTTAGAAATCAACTAATTTTGGAAAACTAATCTTGCATCCTGGAACCTCAATGAGCTTATTTTTTATCATAGAAGTTTTCTCTGTAAATCCTATATTTCCTATGTAAATAACCATATCATCTGTAAATACAGTTTTTATCTTTTTCTTTCTAATATGTATGCCTTTTATTTCTTCTTCTTGCTCTTTTAGTAGTTAGAACTTCTAGTATTATGTTGAGTAACAGTGGTAGAGTCTTTTCTTATTCCAAATATTAGGAAAAAAGCATTTGATCTTTCATCCATAAGTATAAAATTATCTGTGCAGGGCTTTGTTTGGGTATGTGTGTAAGTTATACAGTTTTTAATAATTTGAGATAATTTCTCTCTACTACTCATTTCTGTTTTTGACTCAAGTGAGTGTGGAATTTTGTCAAATACTTTTCATTATCAACTAATATAATTTTCTTCTTTGCTTATTAATGTGGTAGAATATTAGAATATACTGACCATATTTAAAATGTTGAAATAAATTTGCATAACTGCAATAATCTCACTTGGTTAGAGTGCATATTTCTTTATGTACATTGTCCAATTTCATTTGCTAATATTGTATTGAAAATTTTTACATATAAGTCAATTATATAGGTTGGCCTATAGTTTTCTTTTTACCATTTCTGTGTGACTTTGGTTTCAGGATCATACTGACATTATTAAATGAGCTGAGAAGTGTTCTTTCCTCTTTTATCACCTAGAAGAGATTGTGTAAGATTAATTTTAGTTTAAAAAAATATTTTGGTGAAATACTCCAGTTTAGTGAACCACTTGTTCTAGAGATTGCCTCTTTTAAGCAGATTTTAAATTATGAATTTAATATCTTTAATGTTTTAAGGATTGTTCAAATCATATGGTTGGTTTGATCAAGTTTTAGTAGTTTGTGGTATTCAAGGAATTTGTTCATTTTTTCAATTTTATTTATTGATTTATTTGTTTGGTGAGTATTGGAAATTGAACCCAGGACTTTGCATGTGCTAGGCAAATGCTGTAAAACTGATCTATATCCCCAGCCTTTTTTTTTTTTTTGGTCTTTTTGAGATAGGGTCTTACTAAGTTGCTGAGGCTGCCTTTGAACATTTGATCCTTCTGCTTCAGCCTCCTGAGTGGCTGGGATTACAGGTGTTTACAATCAGGATGGGAAGATTCCATCCCCCTCCCACATACATGGTACAGGGCCTTGAACTCATGGTCTGGCACATGCTAAGCAATCATTCTACCTTTACTACTGAATTACATCCCTAGTTCTAAGTAGAGAATTTTTTAAAAGTAAATTTGTTTATAATATTACCTACAACTTCTTTATTTTAAAATTTTCCAGTGCTGGGGATTAAACCAGTGCCTTTGTAGGTATTAGACAAGTGCTCTACCAATGAGCTACACCCCCAACCCCTTATTACCTTTTTAATGATTATAGGATCTGTAGAGATATTTGTAATTTCACTCCTGACAGATTTTTGTCTTCACTTTTTCCTTTAGGCTTTCCGGTTATATTAACTTTTCCAAAGAACCAGAATTTCGTTTCATTTATTGCCTCTGTTTTCTTATTTTCAATTTCATTGATTTCTGCTCTTAGGTTATTGAGGTAGGGGTTTAAATCTTTCATCATTTCTAATATAAGCACTTAATGATAGAACTTTCCTTCTTGTAGCTGCTTTAACTGTTTCCTACATATTTTGATATTTTGGATATTTTTGTTTGTTTTCACTTTGTTCTATTTTTTTCTCTTTAAATAACTGTGAGATTTTCCTTTTTAAATTTTTTCTTTTATACTGATGCATTAGGATTACACAGTATGATTTGTTGTCAACACTTTTGTACATGCACCCAATATAACTCCATAATTTGGTCAATTTCATTCCTCACATCTCCCCCTTCCCCCCTTCCTCTGCCTGGTCTTATGAATCAGAAGATATTATGATCTTTGTTAAAATATCAAATATAATCCAGTAACACTAACAAGGAAAAGGATAGTCTATCGTATGGATGCATGCATATTCCTCCTCTTGTTCCTTCTTTCTTCCTCATTCTCCAGAATTCTTTCTTCTATCATTTTCTTTCTGCTTGAAGCACTTTCTTTTGAGACTACTTAAAGGTGGTCCTGCTAATTATAAATTATTGAGCTTGCTGCATCTGAGAAAGTTCTTATTTCCCTTTTATTCCTGAAAGATAGCTTTGCTGGGTAGAGAACTCAGGATGAAATTTTTTCTTTCTTTCAGTACTTTAAAAATGTTACTAAAGGCTTGTTCAGCATTTTAAAATCTGGTGATGAATTTGTGAAGTTTTCAGATATTATTTCTTTATAGACTCTTTAGACCCCTCCCTTTCCCTTTCCCTTTCAGGGCTCAATGATATGAAGGTGAATTTTTGTCTCAGAGGAGTGCCTGAGGAAGACAATCCATTGTTTAAAAATCTGTTTTCTCTCTGTTGTTTGTACTGAGTAAATTTTATTGTTTTGTCCTAAAATTTATTGTTTTATCTTCTTCATGTCTAACCTACCATTGAGCCTATATAAAGCAAATTTTTGGATCTGTTGGTGCATTTCTCAGTTCTGTACTTTTCATCTGGTATTTTAAATAATTTTTATTTATTTCCTAAGGTTTGGTTTTTCATTGGTTTCAAGAGAATTTTTAATTGGTTGTTGAAGCATATTTTTGACTGCCATTCCAAATTCTTGCCAGGTAATTCTAACAGTAGGTTATTATCACTGTTGAAATTGGTTTATTTTATTTTATTCCCCAGTTATGATTTCCCTGATTCTTGGATTCATATGTATTTTTCTTTGAAAGTGTAAAATACATGTCAATATGTCAACCATTTATTAAGTATTAAGAAATCTGTTTTCCTGCTTTATTTTAGTAAACGTTAATATAAAGTTCTCATCTATCCTCCCTATAGAGTTGACTCCTATGCTTCTGGGCGCTCCTGTGTTGACTAGCGCCAAGGTCGAGCACCTGGAATCCTGTGCTAACTGGTGAGTACAGCTGAGTGAGGGAAGACTGCACAGATGTGGAGGGCTGCATCACTCTAGATAGACATAATGTCACAGGACCACACAGGGGTTGGTTTTGACACTTCCCTCCATTAGTGTCATGTCGCATTGGTGGCTCCTGGGGCTCTTTCTCTCAGAAGTGACCAGGTTATGAATAGAGCAGTGACTCTCAGTCTGGGACTCAGGCTAGGTATCCAGCTGTTGAAGAAAGTTGAGAAAAGTGTCTGTTTATTTGAGGAGGGAAGGATTTGAACTGTGAGAACGAAACAGAAGAGAGAACTCCGGGGGCAATATCCTGTTTCACTTGCCATTCTCTAATTAAGATCATTTAAAGTTTTATGGTGCAATATAGCAGCAAGCTACAGCCCTGCCTTTGGGAGTAAGCAATTTGGTTAAAAAAATTTTTTCTGCTATTAATTGATTCATGGATATTTTCCCCCTTTGCAAAGTCTGTTTGAACTGTGTTCCACCCCTGGCTTGTTTACCATTCAGGTATTTTTTTAATAGTGGCAGTAATATGTTTCTTTGGTGGTTTACTTTACTTCTCGATTATTTTTTTGTTTTAATTTAATGACATGTAGTACAGAGTAAGGGGTGAGGCCGATCCTGCACATGATTTGTTTTATCTGTATTTACCTGCCAAAGGATTTCTTGACAATACAGATATTTGAAGAAGACTTACTAGAAATTTGCCACTAGTTCCAAAAAAATTCATGTTCATAGCAAACTGTTTTTTAAAAGTTTGTAATGAAAGCCCTCTTTGCCATCTAGGGAAATAACTCAAGAAAAACTAGTAGTTTATATTAGGCTTGACCCCTGATGATATCTACTGTAAAGACTTCAGGAGATAATTAATCTTTTCTTCTCCAATTTTTATTTTAATGAAAAATTTTTAGTTCTACAAAACTTTTAAAGGAGGCAAATGAGATTCTTAGTTATACAATGCAGGAGTCAACTAATTTCTTTCTTAATCTTCAGTTACTTTAATAACATTTTCCATGTAGCCTATAAAAGATTATTTAAGCCAATTAGATCTCTTCTGAATTATCACACTGAAAATTGCTTTAAATGAATGTTCTTTGTACCTCAGTGAGATGCTGAATTTGCTTGAAAACATTTCAATATCATGATGCTCTAAATGTATTCATTAAAGACTCCACTTCTTATAGATGTGTTTTCTTAAAACACACACACACACACACACACACACACACACACATCTGTGAAACTATTTCCATTATTGTTAAGAGACTATTCAGAAGAAAACATTTTTTGAAAACCTAATTCTGGAACTATATTACTAATTTAGATAACTTCCCAAGTAACTCTTAAAATATTTTGTACTCTTTTTATATTTGAATCATTTATTTATTTTTTTCACTAGAAAACCAAAGTCATTAATTCTATACTTCTGTCATCAAAAAGGACTTCTTTGAAGACCAGTGTTCTTGGGTACATTAGGGCCTGATGTTGCCTGTACCTTTGCAGTTAATTCACAAAATACACAGTAGATTCAAGAAAAAAGCAATTATGACAGATAATATATGATTGTGGGTAAGGCATTATGAGAAGTTTAGTTATAGACCAAGGGACACTCCTCAAAATTTGGAAAGGCCAGGTGAGAAGTGAATAATATCATGTGAGCTCTACCATAGTAAGGTACTGGCCACAGGTGAAGACATCAGGTGATCACTTTCTGGGTGACTCTTTGTTAAAAGATAATTTCAGAAAAAGGTGAAAGGGTGATTCTTATGTTGATTTAGAAATAATACATAATAAAGATTTTGTTTTACTTGGTAATCAATAAGGGAACCAGATCATTGCTAAAACCAAGGAAAGTTTAAAAGGCACAAATTTATATGGAGTAAATGATATGAATTGTGAATGGAAGAAAAACTGATTTATTTTTTCTGTTTTATGGTGCTGGGGTTTGAACTCAGGTCCTAACATATGCTGGGCAGGTGCTTTACCAATGAGTCATTGCTGCCATCACAGATTGATTTTTTTTTTTCACAGCAACAGTGAAATTCTTCCAAACAAGTTTTCAAATTCATCCTTTGCCTGCTGTTTACAAAGAGGTACCAAATAGCTCAATGACAACAAATGTGGTAAAATCAGACCATCTGGAGGCGTGTAATATAGACAATGCATCATTTTCCATTGAAGCACAACATAGGTTTTTCTGCCCCATCTGTGGATTCAGTTTAATTTCTTGCCTCTCGTGGTAAGTGAAGTAATCAGGGAAAGGAGTGTCAGACAAAAATTAAGCTTGTGCAATCCTTCAGTTCATTGGGAACAAACCAAACAAATGAACACACATTGTTTCTAATTCACTTGATGAAAAGGAAACTTGGGTAATAATGGGAATGGGCTTTTCATTATTAGTAATAGCCTCTTATTGCTCTTTATAAAGTACATGGAGGCTGTTAACAGTGCTTTTGAGGTCAGTGAACTACTGAACTAATACCTCCTGCTGCAAAAAGATCAGAAACAACCAACAAGTAACAAAGTTTAGTAAAAGTAGTGAGAGATTAGATACAATAGTAACGATTTTATATCCTACATAAGAAAAGTATTTACTGTACTATCTTTTCACATATATTCAGAGTGCATCCTTTGGAGACCCCACACAGACTGCACGCCAGGCCCTGTCCTATCCCTGTCCCTTCAGTCTTGAGACACTGTGACCTGGCCATACCTCATGAAGAACTGGAGGACCAGGATAAAGAATGTGGGAGTTTATTTCACTTGTGTCAACCTATTCCTCACCAAGTGCCTCAGCATGCAGTGGAGGGTTTTAAGGGCAAACAGAGGTAAAAACAATTTAAAACTCCCTCAAGAATTTAGCATTCCATCAAAAACTTCTGAGAAGGTGAGAAATAAAAGAAAGGGTAGATGGACTGGTTTACAAAGACAAGTTCTACTGGATGGAATGAACCCGTTGTAGGCTCAGGAAAGAACTCTAAACCCTGGCTACCTGGGCTTTTGGTGTTGTGTGTCTGAGGGTGATGGGAGACCTGCTTGGGACCCCATTTTTTCCCAAGAGCAGCTTGGTCAGGTGTTTGGATTGCTAACGGCAACTTAGAGCTTTGTCCTATCACTAAATCCACCAAATCTTCTCTTACTCCTCTATGGAATGGAGATAATAATAGTTAACTTATAGGGTTGTGAAAATAAATAACATGGTATATACAATGGTGAAACTTATGCTCTCAGTTGTCAGTGATTCAGTGGAAGGTGGCTATGACTGAGGCCGCCCAGGGCCCCTGCCTGGCTCCATGCCCATCTTATTCTAGGTTGGGCCCCATTGTTGGAGGATCAGTAGGAATGGGAGGCAGTCTGGCATTGGGGAAAGGATACAGAAGGATACTGGTTCAAATCCTGGCTTTGCCCCAACAAGCTATATATGCGGGCAACTTTCTAAGGTTATCAAAAGTGTGTCATCTCTGAAATGGAGATTTGCTTTTAGTAGAAATTCAGTATGTGCTTAGTAATTCTTTAGCAAGAACTAAATGAGGTTGCAAAATTGCAACTCTTAGTACCTGATGCTTAATAAATGATAGGCTATGCTTATAATGTTACTGAAGTCGGTCCCTGAGATCACTCCTCTCTTCTCAGGCCTTGTGGTCCATTGTCAGCCATCTGTGGAGATCTAGTACGAGGGCCATGCTCTTATGAAGTCTCCCTTGACCTCAGACTGACTGAGACAGTGGCTCCCTCCTTTCCAAGCCCTGTGCCCTCTCAGTTGGGTACACTCGAGCTGTGGGCCGTAAGAATCAGACCTTTGATGGACTGGGTGCAGGTGTTGACATCTCAGGTTCTATATATGACTATTTATTGATAGAAGGAACAGCACACTGTCCTATCCTCCTTCAAAACACTGTAAAGATTTCTAAATCTGCAACATGGGGCAAGGCAATTCACATCTCACCATTTCATATTCCTTTCATGTTCTTCATATTACACATCAAACTGATGATAATGTGCAGCTCACAGATTATAAAGTCTTCTTAAAAGGACTGATTCTGAGTGTAGGGAAAAACAAAGAGTTTATTAACCAGTGCCTTGGACAATCCCAGCATCCACCTGTATTTCTAGATGTCTCAGGATAGACTTTATTCCGATATATCTTCAAGGTCAGCTCATTCCCCATGGAGAAAGCCCCTTGGCTGGGAATGCTTACATCCTCTCTCCTTGGGACCTAGCTCAGACACACATGGAAAACTCAAGAGAAAACAGCTCTCCTGGAAGGCTTTCCCTCCAATTTCTCCAAAGGGTGGACTGAAGGGACTTAGTGGATTGAGGACCAGAGAGGAAGCTCTTTCCCACTCATGCGGTCATCTAATGCACTGCTGGAGAGTGCAACTTCCATTGTGAGAAATGTGCAGGCTGAGTCCTTTAATCGGACCCCAGGGCTCTCTGGGGAGCCTTTTATCTTGGGACTCTGCTCTGTATTTGCATCACTAAGCAGAAAGCAAACAGCCCAAGGAGAGGTGGCTTTTCCGTAGGCTTCTGATTCTTAAGCTACAGCATGCTAGCAATGCTGCTTTCAGTCCAGAGGAAAAGGAGACAGAAGAAATCGAGGGAGGCTTGGACTTAAATTGTGGTGATAAACGATGACTTCTTAAAGGCCTCTTATAGGTTCTGGTTGTCTTTTTGGGTTGATTATTGCTCCACATTTGGGTTTGACTTTCCTCTTCTTAGTTTTCCCTGAGTTTTGAAGCAGTGTGGTGTAGACAAACAGTGTCTCTTTGGAGTCAGATGTCCTGGGTTTCAGCTGAGACTCCAACATTCTTTGTGTGATCTGGAAAGAATTTGCTTAACATGTTGGGGGTTCCATTACCCCAGATGCCAAAAATGAGGTCAATATTCCTTATAATATTCAATTTTTTTGAGCAATAAATGAGAATGTTTGTGAAATTATCTGGCACTAAGAAGGTGCTTGATAGAGGTTCATTAATTATTATTATTATTTACTTTGTCAGTTTTCATGTTGATGTGTATTTTCAAGAACTTCATTTTTATTTTATCTATTCTAATTTGTTATATATGACAGCAGAGTGCAATTCAATTCATATTACACATATAGACCACAATTTTTCATGTCTTGGGTTGTACACAAAGTAGAGTCACACCATTCGTGTCTTCATACATGTACTTAGGGTAATGATGTCCATCTCATTCCAATGTCTTTCCTACACTCATTCCCCTCCCTTCCTCTCCCTCCCCTTTTGCCCTATCTAAAATTCCTTCCATGCTCCCCGCCCCATCCCCATTATGAATCAGCATCCTTATATTAGAGAAGATATTTGTCATTTGGTTTTTTGGAATTGGCTTACTTAGCAACTCCATCCATTTACCTGCAAATACCATGGTTTTATTCTCTTTTAATGCTGAGTAATATTCTATTGTGTATATACACCACATTTTCTTTATCCACTCATCTACTGAAGGGCATCTAGGTTGGCTCCACAGTTTAGCTATTGTGAATTGTGCTGCTATAAACATTGATGTGGCTGTGTCCCTGTAGTATAATGTTTTTAAGTCCTTCGGGTATAAACCAAGGAGTGGGATAGCTGGGTCAAATGGTGGTTACATTTCCAGTTTTCCAAGGAATCTCCATACTGTTTTCCAGATTGGCTGCACCAGTCCCACCAGCAATGTATGAGTGTGCCTTTTCCCTCACATCCTTGCCAACACTTATTATCGTTTGTATTCTTAATAATTGCCATTCCGACTGGAGTAAGATGAAATCTTATAGTTTTGATTTGCATTCCTTTAATTAATAGAGATGTTGAACACTTTTTCATATGTTTGTTGATTAATTGTATATCATCTTTTGAGAAGTGACTGTTCAGTTCTTTGGCCCATTTATTGATTGGGTTATCTGGGTTTTTTTGGTGTTAAGATTTTTAAGTTATTTATATTTCCTAGACATAAGTTCTCTATCTGATGTGCGTGTGGTAAAAATTTGCTCCCATTCCGTAGGCTCTCTATTCACCTCACTGATTGTTTCTTTTGCTGAGAAGAAGGTTTTCAGTTTGAATTCATCTCATTTAATGATTCTTGATTTTAATTCTTGCACTATAGGAGTCTTATTAAGGAAGTCAGGGCCTAATCTGACATGATGGAGATTTGAGCCTACTTTTTCTTCTAATAGACACAGGGACTCTGGTCTAATTCCTAGGTCCTTGATCCACTTTGAGTTGAGTTTTGTATATGGTGAGAGATAGGGGCTAATTTCATTTTGTTGCATATGGATTTCCAGTTTTCCCAGCACCATTTGTTAAAGAGGCTATCTTTTCTCCAATATGTGTTTTTGGTGCCTTTGTGTGATGTAAGATAACTGTAATTATGTAGGTTTGTCTCTGTGTCCTCTATTCTGTACCATTGGTCTACAAGTCTATTTTGGTGCCAATACCACGCTGTTTTTGTTACTGTTGCTCTGTAGTATAGTTTAAGGTCTGGTATAGTGATGCCACCTGCTTCACTCTTCTTACTAAGGATTGCTTTAGCTATTCTGGTTCTATTATTTTTCCAGATGAATTTCATGACTGCTTTTTCTATTCTTATGAAGGATGTCATTGGGATTTTGATTGAAATTGCATTAAATCTGTATAGTGCTTTTGGTAGTATGGTCATTTTGGCAATATTAATTCTGCCTATTCGAGAACAAGGAAGATCTTTCCATCTTCCAACATATTCTTTAATTTCTTTCTTTAGCATTCTGTCATTGTAGAGGTCTTCACCTCTTTCATTAAGTTGATTCCCAAGTATTTTATTTTTTTTTGAGGCAATTGTACATGAAGTGGTTCTCCTAGTTTCTCTTTCTGATAGTAGTGCATTTATCATTTATTACATTACCTTGTGTGGTAGTTTCTGAGAACCTTTATCTGCGCACTCTTACCTGAACACTTTGATGCTGAGAATCAACCACCACCCCTGACTCTGGTTAGTACAATCTTGAGCTATTCTTCTGAGCTTCATCAGCATAATCTGTTTTCCTAGGAATATCCCGACAGGGCAAATGGTTCATTATAGAAGCTTTTAGAAAGACGCATCAACTCCTGGATGGGAGACAGCAGACAGTACACTCTCTAAGACTGAAGGAATCCCTCATCTCCAAGCCCTTACCTTGCTGTTGCCTCCTATCCTGGGGATCTATGTCTTGATCCTTACTCCATTTTAACAGAGCCCTGCTTGAAGTCTAATTTCCAGTTGTTAGTGAGTTCTGATCTTCTCTTTCCTGCTCGGAGGCCCCAAGGAAACTTCCCGGAGTGGTGTCCACCTCCCTGAGGGGGGCCGTGAGCTCAGCTTTGTGTTGGTGGGTTCTGTTGGAGATGTTTGGGGAGCCAGGCTTCAGTGGTCTCGGCCTCACCTCTGGCTGCATTCCTGACTGAGAACAGAGGCCCCCTCTGAGTCCTGGGGAGGGGGGCGTGGGGGCTCTTGATCTTTCTATACTAACAACCATCTCTTTCCATGAACTCTCAGGCCATGAGTTGATTTTGTCTCCTAGGAGTAACAAATGATTTTTAGATATTTGTTGGCTCTCTGATCAGAGTTGAGAAATGTTTGTCCTTGGTGGAAATCTGCCCCCCCCTCTCCCTTCTTTCCTTCTTTTTCCCTCCTTCCCTTTCCTTCTCTTCCTCCACTTCCTTCCTTTCCATTCCATCCTCCTGGAAAGAGATGGTCCTTTCTTTCTAGGATACACTCACTTACCCCAGTTCTATGGTGAAGTGCCCCCAGACCATACAGCTCCACAGGACTCAGAGGAGAGCTGTTTCTCTTCCTTCCCTTCCTTCATTTCCTCCCCCGACTCACTTCCCTGGCTCTTTCTTGA